AACTACTATATATATATATATATATATATATATATATATATATATAGTAGTAAATGACTGATAGTTGTGAGAAGCAGGAAACAAATGAAATGTAAAATGAATGGGGTTGGGATTAAGGTGGTTAGGAGGCCAGGAAACTCAATTTAATGTCTCACCCTCCATTCATTAAGGTGGTTAGAAGGTCAGGAAACTCAAAATAAATAAATAAATAAATAAAAAGAAAGGAGAAAATAATGTTTTGTCTTAAAGCCCTCTTTGCCCGATAGAAACTGTAACAATTTCTCAAATATTTGATTTTAGGAAAATTAAATTTATATAGTGACTACCACATGGTCTTTTTTTTTTCTTTGTTAATTTTACATTGTAGTCCTATTTTCTCGCATTTTGTAATTGCAATTTTGTCCCAGATTCGATGAACTTATTATTTCTTTTTTTTTTCTAAATAACTTTTGTTCTCTCTGGGGTGGTATTAAACCACTAAATTCCAAGATCCAATTACCACATTTGTGAGGACTGTTCCATATTAGCTCTACACTTTTGAAATCTTTTAAAATATGGAACTATTCTATATCGAGCAATTATTGAACTGCTCCATACTTTGAAAATGTTTTAAAATAGGAAAAAATTTATATAAAATTGCAAGCTTATATTATAGAAGTAAGACGCACCTCAAAATTCCATTGGAGAGCCTTCCAATTGATCATCTCGGATTCAAAATATATAAATATAAAAATAATAATTTCTAATCCAAGGAACAACTCATCTTGTAACCTTTTATTTTTAAAATTGTTAAGTATTTATGGATTTGTTCGATTTGCATTGCTTTTGAAATTTTAGATTATATAATTAGGGTGGTTTAACAGGAATTCACGGGTTATAATTTAAGGTGGCACCGCCTTATACTATATGGGTGTGAGCCTAGGCTCTAAACAATCATATTAGAGCCTACCTTCAAATAGTTTTAAGAAAAGCAATTTGAATATTGAAAATCTTTGTGATAGACTTAAAATATAGTTTCATTTTTATTTATAAAGTTTAAAGTTTCAAAAATAGTGTAGATGGACCGATCTTGAAAATCTTGAAAATTAACTGTCGAAAAATGCATTACAAGACACTATTTTCAAAACTTGAAATCTATTTTTTTTTCATGTTCACGCATTTTGATGTCGAGATGATCAATTTGAGGATATTTGAACATCAAAACAACATTAAAGGTTTGAGATAAGCTCAAATTTGATTGTTTAGAGTCTCGGCTCTATATAAACTTTTCCCTATACTAAAACATGAAGCAGTTCTATATTTGCAATATTAAACAGCTTTTAAATTTGGACACGGTTTTTATGAATCCTGGGACATCTATTTTGAGATAGATTTTGAACCTAATTATTTTTGTTATATAAATAAAAACCAAAAATGTATATAAAAAAAAGTAAATTTTAAAAACCAAAAATGATAATTTTTTGATAACAGTTTAAAACTGCTTTTTTTTTTTAAGAGATAAATAAATAACCATTTCAATTTTTGAAGGCAGTAAACCGTCTTGATCCTTCCGCTAAATGCCTCAGCCGTGGCTGCAATTTAATTCCCGCTCAGAAAGAAAAAGTTTATGGGTTCCGGTTCAGGGTAGATATCTTCATACATTTACCTCAAAAGAGAGGTAAGAAAGAAGCCCAGCAAATGTAAAATTATGAGAAATAAAAGCAATTCAAACACATTTAGAAGGAAAGTGAAGTGAAGAAAAACCAGAGAATTGATAAAATGGGTATAAAAAATATGCCCAAGATGAAACCCTAAAACTTCAAACAAATTTGAACAGAAGTGAAGGGAAAAGAAAAGCACACAAACACCAGAAAAATTAGGGCAAGGAAATGTACCAACCTATGTAACAGAAAAGCCAAACTTGCAATTCACAGCATAAGAAATGCGAGAATTAAAATCCTGTTTTTGATGTTGGAAAGATGAAAAACAGGCATATGAGTATCGATCTCAAAAATGCCAATGGAAATTCAGCTTTCCTGCTTTGTGTAATGAGATGCTGAACCAGTACATATATATATATATATATATATATATATCTATGCCAAGAGTTTGGCTATTAGGGTTTATCATAAACCAGAAAGGACGACCCCGATGTCCGAAACCCTAAGATTCGCCACTTGTTATATGTACCTGGATTGCCCATTGGAAATGAAGAAAGTACCCGAAAGCATTCACTACATGTGGTTGGTTAATGTGGACCTCGAGAGGTCCATTCTAAGCCTGTTTGCAGGTAGCGCGTTCAAAAGAAGACCGGTCCAACTCGGAACCGCCCGAGTCCAATTGGGATTGAGGACAGGCTCAAGTCTCACACTCCCATTGGGATGATGAATAACCTTTTTTTTGTCTTTAATCTCTTTTTAAAGACATAATTTAGAAAGGGAAACGTTTCCGTACTTTCCCTACCTACCATCCAGCCATACAATTTTGATCAAGATAGCCACTCACCGTTTGAATTTAGATATGATGTCTTAAAGTATTTTATTTATAGTTTTTTTATACAAATTTTATGAATATGAAATTTGGTACGTACCATTTTTTCATTGGGACGCACCAATAAAAAATATTTAAAATAATTTTTTGATAAAATATAATGACCAAAATACCTTTTGAAACTTTTAGAAGTATTTTGGCCATGTTATTTTATTGAAAATTTTTTTTTTTTGAATATTTTTCGCTAGTGCTAGTTTAATAGAGGATTGGACATCCAAAATTTTGTGTCAAAATAGTTTATAAAAAAAATATTACAGAGACATGACATTATGATTGGGGCAATCTTAGCCTTCTACTTAAAATGGACGGTTGGATAGCGGGAAGTATATAAGTTTTGTGGTAAGGGATAAAAAGCTTGCCCATTCAGAAATACTGATTTTTCTCTCGCTTCATCCAAATCTTTTAAATTTGCTCATGTTAGTCCCATCTCTCTTATCTACAAAAGTGTGGTTTGTGTAGAGCCGAGGCTCTAAACAATCAAAGTATAGCGCACCTTCAAATAGTATCGAGAAATGTAGTTTCAATATTGGAAGTATTTGTGATAGCCTTAAAATATATATTTATTGTTAATTATAAAAATTTAAGCTTAAAAAATAGTGTATATCGAATAAATCTATGAAAACTTAAAATCTTAAAAATTGACGGTCTAAAACTACATTACAAGATGCACTATTTCCAAAACTTGAAATCCATTTTTTTCTCATGTCCATGCATCTTGATGTCAAGATGATCAATTTGAGGATATTTGAGCGTCAAAACAATCTCTTTTAATAAAACTTTTGAGGTGATTGTTATAAACTTTTCCCCATCTACAATACCCCTAAAATAAAGTTTCTAAACAAACTCAAAATCAATAAAATCTCAAGATCAAATTTCAAGTTTTTACCTTTTCTTGGCCATTTTTCAAATTAATTGAAACATTTCAAAATGATCTTTTAGATCCGTCTAACCATACCATAATTTTGGATCGCAGCCGTTGTTCAGAGAGACCTGGAGTTAAAATTTTGGATCGGAGAGATCTAGAGTTAAAATTTTGGTAGTTTATCCTGTAACAAAAAATATTGTTTCACCCAACTCACTGGAATATGTCAGAAAATGTTCCCATCTTATATACCTAGAAAAGCTCTAACAAACTTTTTTTAATCGAAATCCAAAATTTCTTAGATCGAATTTTAGTTTTTTTTGCCAAATTTTTCCATTTATCTTATCAAAAAAATCCATTTACTTTTTGTATAAAGAAGTCTCGATCACGAATGTCCATCGGATTTCAAAATGAGTGGTTGTAAAAATGTCGTTGAATAGCCTCAAAATTCAAAAAAAAAAAATCTCATCGTAATGACCCATTCTAAGCATCAAATTTAACAATTCTCAAACTTTACGACTCACCCTAAACCATCAAATTTAACATTCAATGAGTAGGAATAATAGTGACATCCTTGTGCAAAAAATACATTATCTTTGTACACAATTCCAATAATTAAATAAAAATAAAATAAAATCTAAAAGTTGAAAAAGTACACCCTCTCAAAGTCTACAAGAGATCTCAGAGTCAAGAGAGTCCACCTCGACCAAAATAAACTCTTTCCTTGCTCAATTCCCTAGTCTTACAAAAAGTGACGCCCCCCCTTTAAGTACATATTTAAAAGAAAATAATAAAAACAACATAGAAAGACCCAAAAAAAATATCTCATTGCATCACATTGCCTCAAGTGATGTTCTTAAGTTCTTGATGACAAAAATTTATGCATTCTCTCATTTTCTTTCGTAGTTCTTATACTTTTTTTTATTGGTGTTTATGATAAATTATTGCCATCATCAGACCACTGAGAGTTGATCTTAGCATGCAACATAATAAGATCCAAACCAAGACAAGCTTTTAGATACCCTCGTAGAGAGAGAGGCAACATGATAAAATCCAAATCAAGATAACCACCTAGCTATCCTTAGAGAGAGTGCGGGAGTTTCAAAGTATGAAATATTGCGGAGATAAAATACACACAAGGAATAGCGATTTATTATGCCTAAAATCGGCGAATAACTTCACAGGCCTTTTAAAGAATCAGTAAAATTTCGACACAATGAACTTACACCATCGATTCAATCAATACATATTCATTTCCCGGAACTTAATATAACCTCTTACAAAAATAAATACTCACCAAACAACAAAAACTCAATCATATAGAAACAAGAATTACAATGAAAGCAAGCACGGGAGCTATGGCACCACACTCAATGGAAAAATGGGACTGCCACAACAGAACCTGCAAGCAACAACCAAGGCCAAGCATGAAAATTTGGCATCCAACCTCTACAATAACCAAATCCCGAAATTCCAAAAGTCAACAAATAATTACACATACCTCAAAAAAAATACCACCAAGATTCACTTGATTTGGCTCAAGAATGTGAGAAAATCTCTTCAACAAAACCACCACAACTCCATGATACATACAAGAACACCTCTCTCCCCAACAAACCACTGGAACTCCAGAATAGATACAAGAACACAAAAACTTGAATCAATGGAAGCCTCCAATGTCAACTGTCAGCTTCTGGTCAAGAGAGCAGCCAAGGCATTTGCATGTTGCGATGGAAGGCTGTTCATGATGGGATGGATCTGGTCACCATAGAGAGAGACAAGGTGACAGAAAGCCATGCCAATTCGAGCTTTCACTTCTGGGCTCTCAGCGGGAGATACAATGACCTGACCAAAAACTCGGAGAACCTCCGGAACAAGACACAGAACCTGTATCACATATAGAGCAAAAATAAATAAAGATATACAATCAATACCGCATTGAGAGAGAATATAGCAATGTCCTGAAGAAACATCCCACTTAAGGGTGACTACTTGCACATCAACAGCTCCAAATAATAGAATGCCACCAACAAAAACAGTGAAGGAGACTAACAATAGTGGAACCAGTTTTATCAATGATGAAATAAGCCAAACGTTTGCAATCAACGACAGAAGGTACCTATACTCCCTCCCTGTGTATAGGACCTAAATCAACAGCTCTTGCTCTACTTCGGTTTTTCTAGCTTGGCTTTTATGCGCCAAGCAATTGTAGATTCATATTCATCATTTAATTCCCAGAATGCACCATCATAGCGATAAGTCAGACCAAGAACTTTCTAGAATGAAAATAGTCAGAAATTAATGAATTGTCGCTTAGTTTTTTCAGTAGATGGGTGATTTTGTTTAAGACATGTAAGTGATACATGTAACTCCACCTTAACCAACCCCAAGCCGGTCATGCCTGCCCCAAGCTTGGGTAAATGTGGGTTGTGTTTGTAAGCAGCCAGTGTCAAATCTTTTAATTAATCCTGAACCTATGTTATATACTCATGCTAGGGCGTTCCTTGCAAGTAAAGATATGACGATATATGGTCTTACTGAGAGTATGACCCTTGATAGAATAGAATAGTGAAATAGGACTCATGCAGCCGACCCCAAATAGTTGGGATAAGGCTCGGATGATGATAATGTAAGTGATACATGTCTTAAAAAATATAAGTGTAAGATCAAGGTAAGACCAAGTAGTAAGTGTAAGATCAAGTAATGCAGAAGTAACACTTACTAAGCTAATATGATTTTTTACAAGTGATACAAAAATGCAAAGTGGAGAAACCTGTTTTTTTTTTTTTTTGGTTGGTGAATTTGTGATTTATGAGCTGTGTTCAACAATACTAATAGAAGAAAGTGGTACCAAACATGAGTCATGAATAAGTTTGGATTTCAAGAGATTTAGTTTTCTAACATGAAGTCAGCTTATTAAGTTCACTGGACAGTTCCCTCGAGGCATTTTGTAATCCTTTTACACATCAATGCTTTCAAATAAACTTATTTGATAAGAAAAGCATTTAGTAAGTTCACCTATTTATCCTACCAAATATGCCAATGGCATAGTATCACCTACCTCCGATTTAGATGATCCTATCAAATTACATAAGCAACCATAGACAGCATCAGACTCCTGGAGATCATCTTTCAGTGGCAAAGCCTTCAAGAGAACAGGTAAAACCTGAAAGCAAGTACATGAATAAAAATGTTAATCCCACAAACAAAAACCTCTTGAATGATAAACTTCAGTGATATTGTAAGTCGGCCATGCCTGTAGATCCAACAATACAAAAGTCCACGTCCAGGTTAATATATATATATATATATATGGGCAATGATCTAATGCAACAGTTGTATCATAGTATAATGCAACCACACTTCTAGAAAACCATGCTTGTGGTATTTGTATTACCCAAAATTCTGCATACACACTCTCTTCATCTCAATAATCAATCCAAAAAAAAAAAAAGTTCACTTTAAACCTTGGATATGGTCAAAATGAGTCTCCTCCAACAATGAATCTAGACCACACATTTGGTGAATTTCAAAATCTTAACCTTCACAAACTCAAAATCATGTTTTCTTTTTTAACACTGTTCATGTAATGATAAGATCTAAAAAAATTGGAAAAAAAAAATCCTTTTAAAGCCTAGATCTAAACATCTTATCCAAAATGGACGGCCTATGTTAATTGGGCTAAAAAAATACTTTCTAAGTTGCGTTTTCAAATTTTTCTCTTTTGTGATTGTTCATTAGAATGAAAAGACTATATATTTTAAAATTTGGAGAAACAAATGGCCCTAACATAGTGTTTGAAGGTTGTTGCATCATATTACTATACAACTGTTCACTATCATATATATATATATATATATCATCATTTTAGCCTTTCCCAAATTAATTAGGGTCGGCTACATGAATCCTGATTCTCTATTCTGCTCTATTAAAAGCTATATCCTTGGTGCTCCCATATCCTTTTGGACTACTTCCAACCACATCCTTTTAGGCCTACCCCTTGCCCTTTTCAATCCTTTCACGTTAACTAACTCGCACCTTCTAACAAGAGTTGTACTTGGTCGACGCCACACATGGCTAGCCCACCTAAGTCTACTCTCTCTCATTTTTTTGGCTATTGGCGCCACGCCTAAATTCTCTCGAATAGATTCATTTCGAATTCTATCCCTTCTTGTCTTGTCACTCATCCATCTCAACATCTTCATCTCCACTACACTCATTCTATGGGTAGATTGTTTTTGTCCGCCCAATATTTCGCCCCAAAGAGCAAAGCTGGTCTCACTGCGTTGTCCTATAGAACTTGCCCTTCAGCCTCATTAGTATATGGCGATCACATAAAATTCCAGTTACGCATCTCCACTTCGCCCACCCAGCTATAATTTGGTGTGCAACATCTTCCTTGATCTCTCCATTTTTCTGGATTATCGATAGAAGATATCGAAAGTGCGGTCTTTTTTGTACTTACTGGCCGTCAATCTAGACTATTATTACTTCGTCTCTACTCCTATTATTACTAAACTTGCACTCCATATACTATGTCTTAATCCGACTAATTTTAAAACCTTGGGATTCTAGAGTATCCATCCAAAGTTCTAACTTTGTGCTGACGTCGTTTCGGGTCTCATCAATCAAATACAAAACTATGTCATATATGAACAACATGCACCACTGTACCTTATCCTCTAGGTGCCTAGTTAAGTCATCCATAACTAAGACAAAGAGGTACAAGCTCAGTGCTAACCCTTGATGTAGACCTATTGTCACTGAAAACTCACTCGTCTCTCCACTAGTTGTTTGTACACTAACCAGTGCACCATCGTATATATCTCTCACCAAGTCGATGTAGTTCTAGAGATGCCTTTCTTTTCCAACACTCGCCAAATCAAATCTCGAGGTACTCTATCATAAGCTTCTCTAGATCAATAAAGACAATGTGGAGGCCTTTTCCCTTTGCCCTAAACTTCTCAGTCAGTTGCCTAAATAAGAAAATAGCCTCAGTTGTTGACCTTCCTGGCATAAAACCAAATTGGTTGTCAGTTTCACTTGTTTCATCCCTTATTCATTGCCCAATGACTCTCTCTCTCAGAGCTACAATTCTGTATTCATCATTTGTTCTTGTAAATAGGTACCACATTATTTTTCCTCTATTCGTCTGGTAACTTTTTTTGTTCTCAACACCTTGTTGAACAACTTCGTCAGCCAGGTAATGCCAATTTTCCCATGCACTTCCAAATCTCTATCGAGATACCATCTGGTCATAAAGCCTTTCTTATCTTCAGCCTTTTCAAAGCTTCTTTCACTTCCGACATCCTAATCCTATGAATGTATATATGACATCCGTCATCATTTATACCAACAGTCCCTTCTACCACTATGTTTCCATTGCGTTCGTCATTAATAATCATTGTAAACAGACCCTCCACCTTTCATTGACCTTGTCATCCTTCACCAAGACTCTTTGATCCTCACTCTTAATGCATTTAATATGGTTTAGATTCCTACACTTTTTCTCTCTTATTTATGTTAATTTGAAGAAATCTTTTTCACCTTCTCTAGTTTCAAGTTTATTGTATAGATTATCATGTCTTAAATTTAGCTTTGCATACTATTTATTTAGCATTTTCTTAATTTTTATATTCTTTTAAGTTTTGATCGGTTCTATTATTCTGTCAAGTTTTATAACATGATCATTTTTTGCTAATGGTTTTCTAAACCTCATCATTCCACTACCAAGTTTCCTTATCAAAGTTTCTTTTCCCTCTAGATTCTCCTAAAACTTCTTTTGCCACTTTCTCGTTACATTCAACCATACATTAATATCATGTTTAGAGTTCCATTTTCCTTCTTCAACTAATTTATCCCTAAATAAGTCTATTTTCTCATTTTTTAAATTTTACCACTTAATTCTTGAACGCCCATTACTTTCAGCCCTTCTCCTCCGTGTCTTTATGGAGACGTCCATGACCAAAAGCCTATGTTAGATAGTCAAACTCTCTCTAGAGATAACCTTGCAGTCTTTATATGATAATCGATCTACCTTCTTAACTAGGAAGAGATCTATCGGGCTTTTATGCGTTACACTTTTATAGGTTCTTAAATGTTTATCTCACTTTTTTAAAATACGTGTTTGCTATTTCTAGGTTGTAGGCCATAACAAAATCTAGAATAGCCTCACATATCTCATTTTTTTCCCCAAACCCATATCCCCCATGTACCCCTTCATATCCTCTATTATCCTTCGCTACATGACCATTTAGGTCCACTTCTAAAAAGGTCCTCTCTCCATTTGGTATGTCTTGGACTAATTCCATCTATGTTCTCCCAAAATTCTCAATTCTATCATCTAATCCTACTTGTGGTGCATAAGCACTGATTACGTTAATTATCTCTTATCATAATATGAGTTTAATTATTATGAGGCTATCACATATCTTTTGACATTAACTACTTTATCTTTTGAATATTTATCTACTATTATGTTATGTCAATTCTATTATTATCCTTTCTTGTATACCATAGTTTATACCCATCTATTTCTTTAGTTTTTTTCTCCTTTCCATTAGTTTCCTATAGACAAGCTATGTTTATTCCTCTTTGTCTCATTGTGTCCACTAACTCTATATTCTTACCTGTACACATTCCTACGTTCCATGTGGCTAAACGAATCATATATATATATATATATGGAAAATTCTTCCCAACGCCTATAGGCAAAAATGAACAGTAATTTCACCTACCCTCATCACCGTCCAAAGTTCATCGCACGGCCATGATTATCAGGTAGTGTTTCATTTTTCATTTTTTTTCTAAAAATCAGAATGATCTAAAATTTGGAGCATGAGTACTTCTTAGAGAGACGCACATACTAAAAATATAAAAAATAATAATTCGCTAAAAAATGACCAAAATACCTCTGAAATTTTTTAAGGGTATTTTGGTCAATTTATTTCATGTAAAATACGTTTTTGATATTTTTCGTAGATTCGCCTATTTTTTATGAACACACGGTCCAAATTTCAGATCATTCCAATTTGTAGAAAAAAAATAAAAAATGAAACACTACCTAACAATCGTGACCGTGCGATGAACTTTGGAAGGTGATGAGGGTAGGCAAAATCATTGTTCACTTTCGCTTATGAGCATTTTGCAGTTTCTTCCTCTCTCTCTCTCTCTCTATATATATATATATATATATATATATATATATATATATGTA